TTTAATGCTGATGCAAACAGCAAGGATGTAACAATGTAAGAGAAAGAATGCCAATGCCCAGGGGATGTCGACATAAAGGATTAATGTGTATGTGGTGATACTTACCAGACTTCTCACAGTTGCGTCCTCTCCACCCCGTCTGACACTGGCATCCACGGAAACGGTTACAGACACCTCCGTTTTGGCATTTACAGTTCAGCTTGCAGTCGGGTCCATACATGTCCTCATCACAGGCTGAAAAGATAAAAAAAGAAGCCACATTTATAGAATCAGATTATACAGCTTGCATAAAGTTCTGTGAGTACTGTTGTGCTGACCTTTCTCACAGTGGCTCCCAAACCAGCCACTGGCACAGGAACAGCCATAAGGGTCTGGTAGGCAGAAGCGAAGCCCTTTGCAATTGTTGTTCCCCACTGAGCTACATGATTCCTGGCAGTTTCGACCAAACATTCCTTCTCCTCTGCAGGCTGTAGTACATCAGGGAAAGGCAAAAATCATAAATGTGTTTATTTTACTTTCTTCACTCTTTTTAGCTGTATTATTTCATAATCTGCCTTGCTACACAACCAATGCAACCTATGTGCCAGTGTAACTAGTCTGGAATCTCTTTGGTTTGTGCTCGATGTTTAATGCTGATGTAGCAAAACAGGGCCATGGACTATTTCAACAAACCTGAAACTCAACTGATCAGACATTCCTAACAGGCATCTGAATAAAACTGGAAAATAGTTATAAATGGATTACAACCTTATGATCCCATACAAGTATCACTATGTCTTATGTCAGAAATAGGAGCAGAGAAGGATATATCTGTAAAGGTTTCATACATTTTAGGCTTCCTCTTCCATTACTGATATTCATTTGAAATATTTTCCTGCAAATGTTCAGGTGATGGTTCAGTAACAGTAAAGAAGCTTTTATCTTCATTCACTGTGCACACTGCTTATTAAGTTTGTAAAAAACAAAAAAACAAAAACATGCAATAGATTCTAAAATTAATTTATTAAAAAAAGGTCTGCAAAAGTAATAGGGAAAATGTCCCTATTGTTTCAAACCACTTAGTTAAAGCCCAAACAAATGTGCATACCTTATTGAGAAAGTGCCACATGGTGGTGTTTTGTGTGTGCACTTGCTGTGGTTGCGACATCAAACAATATTCCTTGGAGGAACAAGTCAATAGATAACTTAAATTAAATCTAATGTAAAAGTTCTGAAGCATTTAATTTAGCTTTATTGTCTCTTAAGTTCATAATTTGTTTCATGGTTTGTTTTTAGGCAGCAATGTGTTCTGTCAGACATTACTTTTCTTATTTCACACATTTAAAAGTGGTTCTACCTGAAAGCAAATTGTCACAATTGTCAGCTTATCTTTCTTAACTGAGCATGAATCGTTATTATTTTCTCTGTTTTCGCTTCTCTCTTCATCTTTCATTCACACGCACTAATATCATGATATATTGTACATGTTTGGTTCTTGTACTGTACGGACCTGTCTCGCAGCGTGTTCCCATGAACCCAGGCGGGCAGATACAGTCTCCATCGACATCATGACAAACGCCACCATTTAGACAGTCTGGACACTCCTTGTCACAGTAAGAACCCCATTTCCCACCAGGACAATCTACCACAAAGAGTTGCATACATTAAAATATAACGTCATGAGAACATACATTTAATAGCATTGATGTGCATTATGGGATCTGATTACTTGAATTCTAAACTACTTTTTTATTTCCAAAAGATCTTGTACATTCTGGTAAAAGATATATTAAACTGAGACAGGAAAAGTGGAATACTTTGTTTTTACTTGACTCTGTGAATGACTTTGGGATGTTGGTGCTTTTGGTTTATAAATGTATGTATGAATGTGACAAACCTCTCACAATAAGTCTCATCCAGGCACCGTGGAGAGGAGAGTCTCCAACATAGGTGGCACTGTAGAATCCTTGATTGGCAAAAGCTGCATTCTCTACTGTCAATGCAGCTGTGCGGTTTATCACATCGTTCCAATGCGTCATATAATAGTAGTTTCCTAAAAAAACAAACACGTACATATATCATACATAGACATACATATATCGTACATAGAACAGATATTCTCTTTTCATTTTCTTAGTTGCCTTTCTCATTTTTTTCTCAATATAATTTGAATGTCTTTTCAGTGTCTTGAATGCGATGTGCTCCTTTACCATTGTACTTCCAGGTCACATCTCTCTTTTCAGGGCTAAGGAGTGTCATGCTGAGGTGAACTGTCTCTCCCTTGTTAACAGTCAGTGTGAGGGAGTTTGGAAGAAAATTAGCTGTAAGAAACATATGTGCACATTTACTTATATGGCAAAACACACAACTTCCCAAATGCTTGCAGTGGGGAAAATATGCTGAGTGAACGCTGAACACACCTTTGCGACAGTTGTTGATCATTGTGACTGTTTTCAGTGCATGAGGAGCTTCTTCAGTGGATTCACAGTAGAAGATGCCAATATTATCTACATTTTGAAAGTCTTTGGCTACAACCTTCTTGTTCCTCTGCTTATCTACTTTAAAATTGGGTGGACTGGGTAACAAAAGGATCTTGTTGTCTCTTTTGATGTCCAACTTGACCTGGTTAGGGCTGTGCTGTCCATTGATACAAGAGATGGCAAAATGATTCACATCGGCGACCTCGACTGTGGAGATCATGGTCAAGTCAATCACAGCATCTGCAGGACATGGACATTAGTCATCTAGACATCAGGTACTCCTGTGGGTAATTTTTTTGCAACCTTGACATTGTTGCAAAAAAATCATTTCATGATAATGAAAAACAATTTTAGTTATCAAGACGAGCAGGAGAGAAATCTAATTAGAACCCAATTAGCATAACTTGGGACAGTTTTAAATCAGATACAATAATGACCATTTTATTTTATTTGGACCACGTGGTCTTCTATAGTTCAATTGCAAGTGACTTCCAGAATAAGAAATAAAAAAACACCTAAAGAAAATACTGGATTAGTTAACATCATTTAAATCTGATTAGATTTAAATCTGTATCTCTATGAGACTCACTTGACATTCAGTTTTTAAGTAACTGGTTTAAGTTGTAACTACTTCAGCATTTTTTATTGTGTTTGACAACACACCATATCTTTATAGCTGCGTCCATGTGCCAGAAAACATGAAATACCACACACCGGACATTGATGATGACAAAAACAAAAAAGATAATAAGATAATGTATCCGTTTCTACCACCATATCACACAGATTAGCCATAAGAAACGTGTAACGCAATGACACTACAGAGACTGACTAAGACACTGGCTGAAACACAAAGACTTTACGCAGTATTTCTCGTATTGCTTGAAAAGTGCCAAAAAACGCCTGTTTTCCCAACATTCCTTCTCCCTGGTTTGAAGCCCGAGATCCACAGAACAATGGGAGGAAACATGGATGAGCTCTTTTTCCCCAAAGGTTTCAGAGAAATATGCTCAACACTGCCAGCGTTTTTTAATGGTGCGTATGAATAAACGTATTCTTCAAAGAAAATACAAAAAAAAACGTGAAACATTTACTTAAACTGGGACCTACACAAGCAACATCACATAACTCGAAAGCAAAAATAAAGAATTTTGCTCAATCAGAGTTGCCCAAACAGTTAAATCAAGATCATGCTCACCTGATAAATCAAAGAACAGCAGTACAAATGTCCACATAATCCTCATTATATTCATAAACGTCGCCTCTAAATGAACTGACAGCCAGGACTTTCCGAACTCTACATCCAAAACGGTTGCGCAGCGTCACGATGATGCGCTTTTTTACGCATAACTTCCCAAAAGCTCCTGTTAGGGTGTCAAATATTCTCAGGAATGTAGAAGCAGCAGTGCATTAAACAACAGTGCAGTCACACTAAACACAGTCTAACTTACGGTTCGCCAAAGCTAAACTTTCTCTGGGTGGGAAAGGAAGGAAGAGCGTCAGCAGACAGCGGAGGACTGCTGGCGCTCCAGACCTCCCCGAGCTGATCGTAATTATGAGTCTAAACTTTGTCAACTTTTGTACTACACTGATACCAACAGCAAGACCAATCATTTTCCAATTCAATATTATATAAAATGTATTGTGAGCTGCAGTGATGAGTTAGTTATGCCGTATAAATCTTTTATGGTATCATCAATGATGGGAATGAGATTTTAAAAAAGGACAAATAATGTGATACAAATATATTTTGAAAGGATTTTATTCAACATTGCAGGAACTGCTTGAAATTTCTAGTTTGTTTTCAGTAAAGATGTGTAGTAATATAATCTTAGTTAGTACATTAACAGGCAATGCAACAGCGTTGTTCTTGCAATTCCATAAGCTGCCCACAATTCTTGCAACTTTTATGGTCAACTAGACTGCCCCCTTCTCTTTTAACCAGTCAGCTTCAGGAAACTATGAACAATGTGCTTGTTGTGTCTATTTCTGCCCAATCTTTAAAAAATCTTGCAGTAGCACTCTGTTATAGGGAGCGACTGCTCATGTCTCTTCTAATTTCACCTAAAAAACTGCAGGGCTGATTTGATGTTTTTCTCAAAGGTTCCTCGCCTCAGACAATCGCCTTGAAGTTAACACAACTTCTTATTGTTTAAGATTTCCTGTTTTCGTATTTGGGAGCTCACATGGGCTTCCTAAGCCTGCAACAAGTCCAAAGAGTTTGAAAAAAAAACAGACAATGCACTGAAATGATTTTTCCATTTTATGATAAAAAATTGTCATTCTGACAGTTTACCGCTTCAAAAAACTAGCTTATCTTGAATGTGATTGCAGCAACATGTTTCAAAGCCTATAAAATTGAGAAGTCCTGCAAAGAAATTGCTGAAGAGACTGAAACTGATTAGTTTAATTGACAACAGGTCAGTTACATGATGGGATATAAGCAGAGCACCTTGGAAAAAGTCTATCATTGAAATCCCAGTATGGGCTCAAATCCAAAAATCACTGTCTGTGAACACAAATGCAGCTGTGCCATCCACTAGTGTAGGTTAAAGCTCTATCACTCAAAGAAGAGCCATATGTGAATAAGATCTCAAAACACTGATGTTTTCTCTTGGCCAAAGGTCATAAAATGGACCGAAGCAAAAAGGAAAGCTGTTCTCTGTTCAGAGAAAATTCCATTGAAGTTCTTATTGGAAATCATGGACAGCATACCCTTCTTGCTCAAGAAAAGAGGAACTATTAGACTTGCTATACAAAAAGATCTAAATCAAACATCTCTCATCAAATGGACACGCATCCCTGGCTATGTAGCTGGCAACTTTCACATAGATCAACATGTGATTTCATCCAGTGATTTTCCATTGATACAAGAGTCTTTCAGGAAAGTATAAAATGTCCCTCTTTCATCATTTGATATCTTCTATTTAAAAAAACATTGTTCAATGAGATGCAAACCATTTATTGTTGTTGTTCATTTCAATTTATACACTGTCTGATGCTAGCTCTAACACAGATGGTAACAAAATGATGCAACTGGGTTAAAAGTATTTTTTCAATAAATGACAGTGTTACTATTTCGCTTTTTGGCATACAAAGATTGTTGATGGTTGGAGTTGACTCAGATCTCCATGACCTTTTGACCTGCTATCATTTCTTGTGTGCTTCAGAAGCCAAACAAAGGCTCAACAAGGGTTTTTTAAATGAGCCAACTATGAACATTGAGAAAAGTTGCTAAATTGAACAATGTGTACATCATGCATATGTACAATGCATTATGTTAGGCCCTGATCTGAGGCGAGTTTTGACAGTAGCAGAACATTGTGCAGAGTTTTGCACACTCAGTTTTAGGAGACAAATTAAATGGAGAGAAAAGGAAAAAGTAAAACGGCAGAGTAGCACAGCATGTTGCAGACAGAGCTTGGTGGAGCCTGAATAGGAAGCCAAAAGGGAAAAGACTAGAGGCTAGGTCAACACAGATGCTTCAGCCTCTGGCTGCATTAAAACTGTCAAGAGCCAAAAAACAGGCGTGAGTGTGTGTGTGTGTGTGTGTCTGTACATAAAAACTGAACGTGTGTCTGTACCCTGTGTAATGACAGTCTAAAAGGACAGGCAAGCAACACACTGTCTGCATGTGTGTACACGAAAGTGCATGTGTAAGCTGAATAATGTGTGTGCAATGCAAAGGAAATAACTCTGGGAGGGTGGACATGAAGGGTGGAGGCAACTATCTGTACTCCTCAGGCATTGGCCATTGTATCGAAAAGTCTTTGTTGTTCCATGGTAATTATTTAATGTGTTTGTGTTTTAAGTAAGAGTCACTTGCTTCATGATATTACCAGACAAAGATAGGGCCCAGTTGGTCTCCTAGCCAAGTTAAAAATGAACAATATTACTTCCTGAGGCACAACAGCACAGCCAGGGACAAAGAAACATGCACATGGAAGCGGGACACTTAAGGTGTGTAGTGCATGTTCTACATATTTTTTATTCAGCGTATTTAAAATACTAATGAAACTTTGTTCATATTGAACTATTAGAGGTGAATAAATGACTTAATGCACAGAGTCCTATGTTTAGGGGCGATTGTTTGTATTATTCAACTGTATATTTGCATTCATTTTCTTTGATTCAGCTATTATAATACAGCTAGATTTTACCTTCATATTAATAATTTAAAAAAAACATCTGCATACCTTTTTTCCTGTGCACAAATAACATTACCATTTATAACATTTACATTACCACCCACAAGACAAATTTTCATAAACCTTATTCATTAATGTTATTGTGAACAGCTGATGGGGAAAGGCCGCCAAAATTGTGCCAGACAAAGAATTTATAGCAGCATGCTTGTAGGTATGTTCAAGTGTTTGTTTTTTTGCATTTTGTTGTGGTTGCAGGGAAAAGAGGTGTTGAGGGTGTAGCTGAGAGTGTCTGGAGTGAGACCATCAACAGTGGCGGGAGGTCTGAGACTTTGTGAGAAAGTTTGTATTAAATTCCCATTTCCTCTCATTGTGTGGTGAGCTGGCCTGGCTCCACACGCATTAATCCTGCTGAGCCCTGGGAGCCTATGGAAGGGTGTCACTCACACCTCTTTGGGCCCCAAAATCACACCCCTTGATTCCTCTCCAAGTGCAATTTTAAACCCCTGACCTCCATCCAAACATACCCCATGTTGTCCGATAAAGAAACCCTCCTTTTGGATCATGTGGCTTTAGGAAGATGTGTGGATTTGTTCTTGATAGCATAATTAGTCTTGTGGTTGTGGTTGTGTGTGAAGAAAAATTGAGTGATAGTGGACAAGAGGATGAAAGACTAAAGCAGATTCAGAGATAAAACGTGTGTGAAATTACATGAACACTTCCACATAAAAAAGTCGGATTTCCCCAAAGATAACAAGTCATAAGGGCCCGATAACTCACCAGCTTTACTTCCATCTGAGTTCTAAATGTGTTTACACTCTTGTATGGTCTTGATGTCAACAGTTTTTCAAGGACAATCTTTAACAGTGCATGGTGACAAACCCCTGACAGGTTTACACAACATTATGCCAGTTATACTTTCCACTGAGAGAAAATGTAATGATCATGTTACCATGTGAACTGGTGCTGTCTGAACACCCATTAACACATAAACAGATGAACTGGGACATAACATACATGGTTAACTCCATATTAGCATGTGGCTTTCAGCATTAAAAATGAACGGTTTCTGAAG